CGGTAAAATTGCGGGCTAAATGGAGATGGGCTACTAGATATGGTGAAATAGTGGGCTAAATTAAGATGGGCTACTAGATATGGTGAAATTGTGGGCTAAATTGAGATGGGCTACTAGATATGGTGAAATAGTGGGCTAAATTAAAATGGGCTACTAGATATGGTGAAATAGTGGGCTAAATTAAGATGGGCTACTATATATGGTGAAATTGTGGGCTAAATTGAGATGGGCTACTAGATATGGTGAAATAGTGGGCTAAATTAAGATGGGCTACTAGATATGGTGAAATAGTGGGCTAAATTAAGATTGGCTACTGGATACGGTAAAATTGTGGACTAAATTAAGATGGGCTACTAGATATGGTGAAATAGTGGGCTAAATTGAAATGGGCTACTAGATATGGTGAAATAGTGGGCTAAATTAAGGTGGGCTACTAGATATGGTGAAATTGTGGGCTAAATTGAGATGGGCTACTAGATATGGTGAAATAGTGGGCTAAATTAAGATGGGCTACTAGATATAGTGAAATTGTGGGCTAAATTGAGATGAGCTACAAGATATGGTGAAATTGCGGGCTAAATTGAGATGGGCTACTAGATATGGTGAAATAGTGGGCTAAATTAAGATGGGCTACAAGCTATGGTAAAATTGTGGGCTAAATGGAGATGGGCTACTAGATATGGTGAAATTGTTGACCAGTATTGAAGGATATCACTTCAGAGGGTGGATGAAGTGTCATTATTATTATCACCATTATTATTACCATATTGGATTGTGGCGGAAGCATTACAGCATAAAGTGAAGTGTTATGGCATTGTTTTTATTTACATAGGATTTAACAAAGAAAGATTACATGATTAGTAATGACAAGTGAAAAATGATGTCCATGAGTCAGACACATATTGCAAATATTGTAATTAACATAAAGCCTCTGTTCAGTATTCAATGCGGTGGTTAGAACCCATCATTCTATTAAAGCAATCACGATTAGAGTGATGGGTCATGAGGTAAAATTGCGCCCTCTACGATGTGGAAATACAAACTTTTGTTTTTGTTGAAAATAACAGTGTGTTGAAGGTTCAATATTTGTTCATTATTTTCTAAAAATATTTTGTAAACTTGATTACTAAACACAGCATAAGCTCGGTTAAGAGCCACCAATATCATGAAAGCAGTCACATTTTAGTATTGAACCATAGAGGGCGATCATCAAAAGTAGCGAATATTGTAGTATTAGCTTTGAAAAACAAAACTGTGAGCTTTTATGAAAACAAAGAGCTATTGCAAAGCGGTTATAACATTTCAGAAAAAATCTTCACCCAATCAAGCAACTCCATCCTAACTAAGGTATTTGCATAGATTGTGTGATTATGGGTGTTTTTTTGGTTCCATTTTTTTTTGTATTTTAAAAAGACATAATTTCAAAAGAAAACCACACTTTTTGAGAACTGTAAAATATCCACTGATGCTGGAAAAGATAAGCATCAGACTAACTTGAGAAGATTTCTTGAAAGACATAAAAATCAAGAGAACTTTTTTGCAAGAGGAAAATGTAGAATCAAAGGTAGCACCCTTTTGTCAGAGACCGGTTCTACCTACATACACAATGATATATCCCAATCTTGGAAGATACCATTATTATTTTTGAACAAGAGAAATAGTTACCCTGTTCAAATTGAGATGAAGCATTACTCCAAAAGAATGTCAGCTGTGAACGAGCATGCATATTTTCAATTGGTTCAGCCAATAGAATAGGTAGACCATAAAACAGCTGTGATTGTGAATCAACTGAATCAAAACCCCACAAAAACTATAATATTTTGTCCCATATCAACTCTACTAAATTACCTGAGGTGAGAGGTCACAGCTGTGGTTTTTTTGGTCATGA